TTTATAGATTCAATGCAATCCTTATTAAGATATCAATGACATATTTCACAGAAATAGAACAGACATTTCAAAAATTTATCTGGAACCATAAACGACCCCGAATAGCCAAAGCAATTTTGAGAAAGAAACACAAGGTAGGAGGGATCACAATACTGGACATCAAACTGTACTACAAAGCCACTATACTCAAAACCATCTGGTACTGGCACAAGAACAGATCCATAGACCAGTGGAACAGAATAGAAAGCCCAGACATAAGCCCAGGTCTATATGGGCATCTAATATTTGACAAAGGGGGCAGAAGCATAAAGTGGAGTAATAATAGCCTCTTCAACAAATGGTATTGGGAGAGCTGGATGGCTACATGCAAAAAATTGAAATTGGATCATCAGCTGACACCATACACAAAAATAAACTCAAGATGGATAAGAGACTTAAATATAAGTCGCAACACCATCAAAGTCCTAGAGGAGAACATTGGCAGGAAACTCTCAGATATCCCACGCAGCAATTTTTTCACTGATAAGTCTCCTAAAGCAAGGGACATAAAGGATAGAATAAACAGGTGGGACCTCATCAAAATAAGAAGCTTCTGCACGGCTAAAGAAAACATCAGCAAAATGAAAAGGGAGCCAACCGTATGGGAAAATATATTCGCTAATGATACATCAGATAGAGGTTTGATCTCCAAGATATATAAAGAAGTCACTCGACTCCACTCCAAGAAGACAAATGATCCAATGAAAAATGGGCCAAAGACCTGGGCAGACGCTTTTCCAAGGAGGAGATACAGAGGGCCCAGAGACATTTGAAAGGATGTTCAGCATCACTAGCCATCAGAGAAATGGAGATCCAAACCACCATGAGGTACCACCTCATACCAGTCAGAATGGCCATCATAAACAGATCCACAAACAACAGGTGCTGGCGAGGCTGTGGAGAAAAGGGAACCCTAGTCCACTGTTGGTGGGAATGCAGACTGGTGCAGCCACTGTGGAAAGCAGTGTGGAATTTCCTCAAAAAGCTGAAAATGGAACTGCCTTTTGATCCCGTGATTCCCCTGCTGGGACTATACCCTAAGAATCCCAAAACACCAATACAAAAGAACCTATGCACCCCAATGTTCATAGCAGCACAATTTACAATAGCCAAGTGTTGGAAGCAACCTAAATGCCCATCAGTAGATGACTGGATCAAAAAACCATGGTACATTTACACAATGGAATACTACACAGCAGAAAGTAAAAAAGAACTATACTTCGTGACAGCATGGATGGAACTTGAGAGCATGATGCTAAGCAAAATAAGCCAGGGGGCGAAAGACAAATACCATATGATCTCACCTATAAGTGGAACCTAACCAACCATACAAAGATGCAAGGAAAATAAGACCAGCAACACTAAAGGAAAAGAAACCAACAGAGACAAGAGGGAAAGGGGGGGGCGGGGGGAAAAGGAAGGGAAGGGGAAAGTCAAGAAACATATAGCAAGGACTCATGGACAAAACCAAGGGAAAAGAGTTGAGGGAGGGAGGGAGGGAAGGGGCAAGGGAAAGTGGTGGGGGTAGGCAGAGACAAATGTATTTGAAAAAAATAAATAAATTAAAAAAAAGAAAAGTGTCAAAGACAAAACGTGATAAGAACTTCTATAAATACTCATTTTTTAAGAAAAAAAGAAATTTCTGATTTTTTAGGTTGAAATTGCTTCTCCTTTTTCTGATGAATTTCTTTTCTTTTCTTTTTTTAGCTGTAGTACCACTGAGCTGAACAAATAAGTCACCTTTGAGTATATAAGGGAAAATAAATGCATGCTAAGGGGATAAAACATTACAACTACATCTTTACTAGTCCATCTCTACCTCTAACACTTCAGAAGTGTAGAGATTCAGTGTTCTTACATTAACTGCAAGAAAAAGATAAAGGAGAATTTCCTTCTTTTTTCAGATCACAACTATGAAGTCATGTGGTTATATAAATTCTGCATTTGAGTGCAAAACATGAAATACATTTCTTTTTTTTTGAGAAAGTAGACTTTTAATAACTGCCTTTTTCACCAGGTAAACCATGCAATTACAAAGTAGTTAGAAATTTCTGAAAGGGTATTATTGTTAAAGAAAAAAAAAAAGCTCATTCTTACATAAATAATATCTAGCACTTCATTGAGACACTACTACTCAAAAGGCCCTGGCAAAATACAGCTCTCAGCCCCATGTCCTTTTCAGGCCATTGTTAATGAAACTGTATGAGGACCAAAAACGAAGACACAAAGTTGGGACGAGTGGGGCCATTACGGGCAATGCTCAGAGCTGCCAGTTAGACTCCAAAGAGGGAGCCCAAGTGTTTTTTTTTTTTTTCAGGGACATTGTATTTGAATTACTATGTAATCAATCAACAAAGATTTTCAAAAGAGAACAATTAATTAACATGATGAAGTGGTTACTGCATTCTTTGGACTATATGTCATAATTGTGTTTAGTAAATTCCAACAGTCTTAACAAAAATAGCCTCCATCATTTAATATTCAATGATTATATATGAAGATACCTTATTCACCACTGGGCTTTTTGTTTTGCTGGACAATATACTATTGATAAGCTATAAATGATACTGTTTTATGTTATAAAATTAAAGCTTTTTTCATTCATTGGGTTTATAGGCATTCACTGCTTGGGTCAAGGTTAGGCTTATTAAGTGATTAAAAGCAATTTTATTACAACAGTATATACTTAATTTATTCTAAAAGAATGGAGAAACAGCTTTTATTTTTGTCTGCAACCTATAGAATTGAGGGTTTGTTTGTTTTTTTGCTGATATAAAATGCCAATAACTCACTTGAGGACCATGCTACCTTCTGAAAATGCCACACATCTGCTTATTAAACGTGTCAAAGTTACGGCACATCTTAGACTTGTTCAGAGCTGAACCAATATGCAGCTGACTGCTCTTGGACAACAGGTGCTTTCCAGCCAAAGCACTGACTGTGGGGAAGCAGCTGTGAAGCAAGGCAGTGCAGCCAGATAGAGGGACTTTTTATTTAAAGGCAAAATGCCCAAATGTCTCTCCAGCATGTACTTGCAGCTTTGTACATGATTCTCTAACGTTAATTTCTTTTTTCTTAAGGGGCTGATTTGGATTGACTTATTGAGAATGGTATATAATATCTAATAAGTAAAGAGAGAAAGAGATCTCTGTGGTTACACGTAAACTTGTGATAAGTCTACAGATGAAGAGGTGAAGAGGGCAGTGGAGAAGTCAGCTACAATCCATCTATGTGAAGGTCACACCGGCTTCATTGTACACCCTGAAGACTTTCTCAATGGCATTGATGTAGGCAGCTGTTCTCAGGTCCAATCCCAGGTTATACTTCGTGCTTGTGCACATGATTTGCCAGGCTGAGTGCACCATGGTGTAAGCTAAATCAGAGTGTACAATGTCTTTCTCAGATGCCCCTGACATCCTGTCCTGGAATTCTGCTGTGGGCACAACCAAGATAGTTCCACCATGCTTCCCAAATTTTCTTTCCATACTCTCTTAAACAGACATGAGCAAGTGGTAGTTAGAGTCCCTTTCATATTTGAAGGTCAAATGGCCATAGCTGACATGATTTAGTTTCTTCAGACACTCAAAGTAAGACACCGTCACTCCTCTAGCATTCAGGTAGAGATCTAGAATAACCATAATGTTCCTCTCCAGAAAAATCTTATCAGCTTCTGGAGTTGTCAGTCCATTGGCACCTTCAGCAATGATCTTGGCTTTAATTCTGGGTGCATTGGGCTTGCTCAGCTGCTTCTCACTGGCAGCAGGGATCAATATATCACAGTCAGCCTCTAAGATGCTCCCTTCATAAAGCTTTGCCTTGAGGAAGCCCAGGATTGATCCATGTTGCAATTTGAGAAATATGTTTAATTCTTCTTGCCTCCTAGACTTGTCAGTCAACTAGCAGTACTTTCCAAGAGGCAGAGACTGAGATGTGTTTTTAAAACTTCAATAACCTCAGCACTACAATAATAAGAGATGCAGTATCCTTTTTGCTATGATTCAAGACAGGGAGGGAGGTCACAAGAAAGAATAAATCAAAATTGTTAAAACTGAGAAACTTTTCTCAGTTCACCATGGTGCCACTTTCATTTTTACATAAGCATCATGGTATAATTCAAGTTCAATGACTCAAAAATCTTAATATTTAAAATTTGCCTTGGTTTTTATCACCATATTAACCAAAATAATTTGATAAAATGCATAAGAAAGGGCAATATTAAACCCCACTTAATTAGAGTTGTTTCTTGACACATTAACTCATTTTTTAATAGAAAAAAGATAGTGCATTTCACTTTGCTTAAAAGCTAGGAGATCACTTTGAATTCCGTATTTCCTAACTGCAAACAGATATAGCACATAACAGCTTATAAATAAACTGGTTTTCAAGCATAGAGCCAGCCCCGATGTTAATAATACACTATTAAAAAAAGACCTAAGGCAATGAATTCCACTTCCAATGGAAAAAAAAGAACTGTGCAAACAAGCTTAAACTACCTTTTTTGTTCCAGTGTTGTAAAATGTAGCTTTTGATAAAACCTTGACCCAAATGCCAGCAATTTGAGAAAAGAATTTGGGTCGGGGAGGAGGAGAGAAGAAAGTTATTTCATTTAGGAAAAACAATCACTATATTTTTCCTAATCTTCAACACACACAATTTAAACATATACAGCTGCTGTAACACTTTATACAATTCCTATGTATTGGAGCAATAACAAGATCTAAAAACAATTAAATTTTTTTAAACACTGGGTCAAGGCTTTACATAAAAATACCATCCTACTTTTCCCCCTAAGTTTCTAAAACATGACATACTTTTCCCCAACATCTGCAGCCATTCAGAAATCTTTAGGAAACTTTTGTGCATGATCTTAATTCTTAATCCCTGGCTCTTTGGGCTCAATGATAAAAGATCAAAACCACCAAAAATGATGGTTCTCTTGAAGTCAGATGAGAGATCCTGGCTCAATTTGTCTTATAGGATGAAAGCAGTGCTGCATCAACAGGCTCCATGCAGGAGGGGCATGTGAAGGACCTCATCAACCAGTCATCTATACAGTCCGGATGATAGATGTGCATGCACGGCAGAAATCGAACTGGGTCTGCATAAACGAAGTCCATCATACAGATCACACACTCTCGAATCTTTTTTTCTGATCCATCTCTTCCAGGCTCATAAACTCCTTTAGGCAGACATTGTATAAGGCCTATTCTTTGAGCTATCCTAATCTGTTCCTCTTCAGTCAGCTGAGTTGCTAGGCGAGCCTGGCTAGGTGTTGGGTGATAGACTGGAACTGGCACTTGCCCCTGATATGGCAGCAGAGGCTCCTGATCTAGCTCTGTCTCCTTGCCAAAACTAGCCTGGTTGGACCGAGACTCATGAAGCAGGGAGATGTCATTCAAAGTAGGGGATTTGGGGCAGTTCCCCATCTTCCAGTGCGAGGGTGTATGATCTGCGGGGTAGGGGGAGAAAGCAGTGGCGGGGTTTTTCGTAAGCTCCTCAGTCAGCTTCGGTCAGCAAGGTGAGGTTGGGCGGCAGGTGGGGGCTCAGGGGATGGCAGCACCCCTGCCCCTGGGCTCCCCACCGCAAGTAGGGGCTCAAGGCTGGGCCATGCGTTCCTCTGGGATTGCAGCAGCAGCCTCCAGCTGGGCAATGATTCCATGTCGCCTCGTTACCCATTGTAAAAACAGATACATGGCTGGAGACAGTTAATCAAAGTTATTTATAAGCTTTTTCTGCAAGTACTATATGAAAGGATAAAGTCAACACCATTTGTTATCATGGCACCATTCGCAGAGTGGGCCTATGACCTTGTTAAACTCGACTACCATTTTACTTTTTTGAGCTTGTGTCCCCTGAACTGCAAATTACTGGAAAACAAGAACAGAACATGACTAACTGCTCCTTATAGCCAGGCAGAAGATAACAATGAAACAAACTGCAGCCTGGCGCTACAACGCCCCAGCAGCCCAGGGGTCACACAACAGCAACCTCTTCTTTTTTAATCCGATTATAATCTAATAAAAGCTCAAAACACCCACTCCTTAATACTGGTGTATCTCTCCACACCATGCCCCTCTCCTTTCTTGGAGAGTGAATAAAGTCTTTACTTCCTACAGTTTCTTCTCTTTGTGAGTTGTTTCAGCTTGTGTCACTGACTACTCTTAACATTTTGGAGACCCGTAAGGGGACATTCTCTATTTCTCCCTCTCCTCTGGCCTCCTGAGACTTTCAACTAGGGATCAGTGGGCAGTGGAAGCTCAACCAGGGCTAACCCCCTACCCTGTCTCTGTTAAGTTTGGAGAGAGGATTCTAATCCTTCTCCATCTCTCCAGACTCTGCGGACAGCCTCCTCCTCACCCATCTTCATGGCCAGCGTTCAGTAAGTCTCTCTGAATCTCAGGACAAAAACATTCTATTGAAAGTGATAGCTTATCCCCTCATTTCATTGCCATAAACCCCAGTGCTGGGTCTATCACTTTCCCAGGGTTTCAACTGGGAGGGACGTCTCCAACTATCTCCCTGCTCGTTTGGTCTGCTCTTGGGGCCCAGGGACATCTGGCTCTAGACAGACCTTCATGGTTCACTCTGCCCTCAGGGCCCAATGATGCCTGGCTCTGAGGCAGGTCCTCATGTTCAGTCTACCCCGAGGCTCAATGATGCTCAGCACTGGCCACATATCTCCAGGTCATTTGAGTTGGGGATGCCCTTCTCAAACCGCCCCCAACATTGTTTGTTCTCGTCCCTGAGATATCCTTCCTTTTTCCATAGTTCTCACCATGGGCAATACTCAATCGATCCCACCCAAGGACTGCCCATTGGGATGCTTACTTAGGAATTTGAAGGCTCTGGGACTTACTAACCTCAAGCCCAAGCAATTGATTGTCTATTGTAACACAGCCTGGCTTCAATACAAACTGGGTGACCAGGAGGTCTGGCCCATGAACGGACCTCTTAACTGTAATACTGTCCTCCACCTTGACCTTTACTGTGGCCCTCTCCATCCCCTCCTTAGGTTTACTTCTCAAGACAGGGAGATTAGATTTTCACCTTCAGCAAGGATTCTAGGCCTCTTTCTTCTAATTATGCCTTTTCATTCAAATTTGCCTCACTCTACCCCCCCCACCCCCGCCATTATTTGTTTTCCGGCTGAGCAGCAGTCTAATCCCTTAAGACCATGTTCTTTTTTTTGTTATGTATTTTTTTATTCTTGTTCAGTTACAGTTATCCCAATTTCCCCCCTGCCCCACCCTGTCCAACCCCTGCTCCCAAAGACAATCCCCACGCCATTGTCCCTGTCCTTGGGTCCTTTGTACATATGCCTTGACTTGACCTTTCTCTTTCTTTCCCGTTATCCCCCTCCCCCGTCCCCTCTGGTCACTGTCAGTTTGTTCTTTATTTCCATGTGTCTGCTTCTTTTTTGCTCATTTGTTTCTTTTGTTGATTAGGTTCCTGTTATAGGTGAGATCATATGGTATTTTTCTTTCAATGGCTGCCTTATTTCACTTAGCATAATGCTCTCCAGTTCCATCCATGCTGTCATGAAAGGTAGGAGTTCCTTCTTTCTTTCTGCTGTGTAGTATCCCATTGTGTAAATGTACCACTGTTTTTTGATCCACTCATTTACTGATGGGCACTTAGGTTGTTTCCAGCACTTGGCTATAGTAAATAATGCTGCTATGAATAAAGGGGTGCATAGGTTCTTTCGAATTGGTATTTCAGGATTCTTAGGGTATAATCCCAGGAGTAGAAATGACAGGTCAAAAGCCAGTTCCATTTTTAGTTTTTTGAGGAAATTACAAACTGTTTTCTGCAGTGGCTACACCAGTTGGCATTCCCACCAACAGTGCACTAGGGTTCCCTTTTCTCACACCCTCACCAGCACGTGCTGTTTGTTTTGTTAATGATGGCCACTCTGACCAGAGTGAAGTGATATATCCTCCCTGGAGAAGTATCTGTTCAGGATCTTTGCCCATTTTTAAATTGGATTGTTTGTCTTCCTGGTGTGGATTCGTGTGAGTTCTTTATACATTTTGCAGATCAGACCCATGTCCGAGTCACACTCAGACACAGGATAAACACATCCATCTCTTTGTCCTTCTCTGCTGGTGTGGACAACTCCCAGTCCTCCATCTGCAGGTGTGGCATCCATGCTAGAGGCTTTTTGACCATGAAGCTTAGGAAACAGGATGTTACTAAGGTAAGGGGATAGAGCCTGCGAGAGACAGAACGGGACACAGACTCTGGGGAACAATGTGAAGACCATTTGGGAAGGAAAGGGGAGAAAGGACTGTTGCTAATGGGCCACGAGAAGGTGCTACATGGTTTTGGATTAAGAGCTGGAGATCGTGGCGACACAGCGGATGGTGCTGGGAACCGCTAAAGGCTTGCCTAGCCGAGCCCAGGACTTCTGTCCCTGTTCTTTCTGAAGGACGGTACCCCTGACTGGCCTGACTGGGCAAAGCCAGGAAGGCAGGACTGTGTGTGTTGGTGGGTATTTCAAAGGGATTTTGAGATTTTAATGTGACAGTTAGCCATTACTCAAAACTTATGTAACTTTTAAATAAATAGTTCTTTTCCTTTTCACCAAACTCTGCCATTGAGAGCCATAATTTTTAAGGGTGGCAGGCAAAGGACCTAGAACCAAGGAACCCCGGGGAAGGGGAGGGTGTTGTTCCAGTAATAGCATCTGTGGCTCCTCCTACAATGGGTCCATCATTCAGTAACAATTTTACTTCCTTCTTTCCAATCTGGGTGCCTTTTATTTCTTTTTCTTGTCTTACAGGGAGGCCTCTAACTCTTGACTTGCTACTTATCTGTCTCTCTGTAGATGGGGTAAATCCATTCTTAGGGCATCTAGCTGGTGTCCTGGTTATTGGTAAGGTCACCCTCAGAGCATGGGGTAAACACATCCACAGGTCAAACTGGCTTTCTCTCCCAAACATGCTCTCTCTTTTTCTGCCAGTGTGGCTCTCTCAAATGGGCTTTCTATTGAGTCCCCTGTCTGTGTGGGTTAAATCCATCCCCAGGATATCTGGCTGATGCTCTCCTCATTGGTAAAGTCACACTCAGACACAGGATAAACACACCCATCTCTTTGTCCTTCTCTGCTGGTGTGGACTACAACTCCCAGCCCTCCATCTGCAGAAAGTATCTTCTGTCACCAGGTTTCTGACCTTTCAGGGGGACAAAGTAGCCCCGCCCAGGTTCTTCCCTGATGCTATACTCCTTGGGCCCAAGACTTTCTTTCCATCATTCATCAATAGTCTTTGAAGCTTTCACTGAGTCTCAACAGGTCTTCTTGCTTGGTATTTAGGACTTTCCATCCCCTTTCCAGTCTTCTTAAAAGTTGTCAAAAGCAAATTAAAAAGTCTTGTTTTTTCTACAAAAATTAATAATTCAAATTATGTGTATGGTCTTTACGTATTCAGTCTTCATGTATATGGTCTTTATGTGATATGTATTTGTCTGTGTGTTACATGTGGTGCTTTTTCTGTCTCCGGATGGCATAACTAGGTTGTAATATTTTATTGGCCTAAAGATATTAAGTACTTATATAAATTAAGCAGGATCTTATGTTTTGGACAAAATGTTTGATGTTAAAACTGGTTTTAAGTTTGGTTAATGTCTTTTAGGGTTATTACCAAAAACAGTCCTGTTTTACAAAAAGGTTATATTATAATCTTTTGGTTAAGTACATTTGACAACTTTCCCAAAGTTTAAATTTTAAGAAGTGAGAAATGACTTTGAGTTATTCCAATGGGCCCCTGTGATACCTCAAGGATTTATTCTTTCTCCTTACAGAAGTTCTTGAACTAATTAGGCCTATTTAATATGCTTGAAATTACATGAGAAGCTTTGCCAAACAGAATAACAATAACTATTTTATTTGTATACATATATTTTTATCAAAATAGATTTTCTAGAAATTTCAACTTGCTTTAGGAAGGAACTTGCAAATATTCAGAATTGAGTTCAAACAGGAAGCTCTCAAGGTATCCTGTCAATGACAGTGAACAAACCAAGAGTGATGGTTCTCTGTGGGGACATCAAGCAGTGGTACTCTGGGTATTTGTATCCCACACATTGGGAATTTATGAATTATTCCCAATCCTCAATGCACACTTCTGATAGGTCCTGTATAGCATTTTAAAACTTTGAACACTGTTTGGTTTTTATATGTATTAAGATTGTGTGTTAAATCTAAAAATACGGGCTTTATATTGTTCTTTTATGTCATTTCATAATAATTATTATGTATCAAGAAATTTTATCTTGAAATATGTTTTACAAAGAAGCAAAGTTCTTTATCAATTGCATTTTATTCTACAACCATGTTCTTTTAAATTTGGTCATTTATAAACAGTCACTGTTTTACTCTAATGCATTTGTAAATGTATCTTTGGAAAAGTTCACGAAGGACTCTGAC